GACTTGAATTTCCTGTCCAGCTCACTACCGGCTGCTCAACCTTTCCCCCTCAGTGACACTAAGTAGAATGTCACATCCGTCTCTACATCTATGGTGAACATTCAATGAATTCTGCCACCACTACCACACACAAAACTAAAATAATTGTTAATTTCTCTTTGACCTTTGAAAATCATCTCTTTCACGCTAGTACAATTTCTCAGTCTTGTGATTTTTTTTTAACAACTATTATGCCTACCACACGTGAACAAACACACAAGGGGTGGACTGTGTTGTAACCACACAGATGGTGTACGCAATGTTGTCCGATCTCCATCCAGGACACCAGTTTGGGACCTGGTACTGAGAAGCAAAATGTCAACCCACGGTGCCGGGAACGGGCTCAGAAGCTGGAGCTTAGCAGCAGAACGGGCCTGAGTGGTGTCTAGAAAAGTAGCAGTTAGCCCTCGGTCCGGTCCATCCCTGGTGCTGTGAGATTTCCCACCATGCATCAGTGACCCAGGCTGCTCTGGTATGAGAGACTTTGAATATCTTAATTACCCCTCCCCCCCACCAAAAAAAAAATAAGCAGGAGGATTGAGGGGCCAGAAGTGAGTCTTACATCACTAAGTGCTAAGTGTACACTTGAGAACAGGGCAGTTGCGAAGAATAAGAAACGATTCCTGTACCTTCTCCTTCAGAGAAGCACATTCCTTCCTTCCTTCCTTCCTTCCTACCTTCCTTCCTTCCTTCTTTTCTTTCTTTCTTTCTTTCTAGAGATAGTAATTGAGCAACATGCTCTGAGCTACGAGTCAGAGACAAAAACTAGTCACATGTGCTTGTATCTTCCAGAAGCTCAGAGTCCACGGTGGCAAAAAAGAGCTGTGAATGCAGCCTAGAGTTCACTGCCAATAGTGTGGACTACAAATAATAAGATCTGTGCTTGAGTCCCAGGAAGCCTCATAGCTGGGCTTGTCCCAGGCTGCGACAGCTCACTCTGCAGATGAGCCCAAGAGAGGAGGCAAAGGCATGCCTTGAAACAGAGCCAAAGTTCTTGTGTCCTTACCCCATGATGGTAGAGGCACTCGAGAGACCAGATAGCTGAGCAAGGACACTGTCAATTTTAAGATCAAGTATTCCAGGGCAGCTGGGTTTGGGTTTTATTTATTGTTTAGTTCCTGCCCTGGTTAGCTTTAATAGTCAACTTGACACAATCTAGAGTCACCTGAGAGATTGTCCAGATCAGAGTGGCCTGACTGTGAGGCACTGTCTTGATTGTTGATTGATGTGGAAGGGCCCAGCCCACTGTGGGTGGCACCGTTCCCTAGACAGGCGATCCTGGGCTGTGTGAGAATGCTAACTAAACATGGGAGCACAGCCGGCAAGCGAAGATCCTCCAAGTTCTGGCTTGAGTTCCTGCCTCAACTTCCCTCAGCAATGGACCTGAAAGTATAAGCCAAATCAATGCTTTCCTCTAAGTTGCTTTTGGCCAGAGTGTTTTATTACAGCGTCAGAAAGGAAACAATAACAGTTGTTTTTGAGACGTGGTATTGATGTGTAACACAGACTGGCCCCGAACCTGAGATCCCCTCCTCTTGTCCCACAAGCACTGGCATCACAAACCCGTGCCACACAGGACTTAGAGACGCTGTTTCTGTTCAGCCAGAGAAATTCGCAGCACAGCACTGTGGGGATGTCTGGCCTGTCACACAGCACACCTCTGCCCAGAGCTGATTGGTGCAGACAGACTGGTTAGAAAGAAGCTAATTCATGGTTCCCAGAATGTGGTCCACACATTCTCGGGACTGGCATTGTTTGGGAATCTTCTAGAAATGCAAGTGCCTGGCCCCAGTCTGCTGAGGAGAAAGTGCAACTTTCTGAGCAATTTGGCAACTGCTGAGCTCATTAAAATCAGAGGACGAGTACATAGCTCTGTTAGCAGATTCATCGGCCTCAGCTATTCCCTCGGGCCTGTGTAGACCACAGAGAGAGGCCCGTGTGTCGGCAAAGCAGGAGAGACCAGCAGGTGGGAGATGCAGAGGAGGCTGTGGGCATGCCAGGAGTGTGTAGCTCATATGCAAACAACATGGAGACATAAATACAGACTGCAGAGAGTGGGGCCAGAAAATTCCTTCTGTTCAGCGCCATGTCTTGTGCCAGGAAATAAGCATCTGCCTCCCGGGAGCCTTTTAGCTACCGCCCAGCTCCTATAATGGAGAGAAGAGGCAGCAGGGAGGGGGGTGTAAGGTCATGAGCCAGGGGAGGCGGCTTGGTGGTTAAGACTGCTAGCTGCTCTTGCAAAGGACAGGGGTTCAGTTCCCAGCACCCACGCAAAGGTTCCCAATAAGCCCAGCTCCGGGGGACCAGACACCCTCTCCAGGAACAATAGGTACTTCCGTGGTGCATTTACATACACAAAGGCAAAACATTCATACACACCAAAAATAAAAATAAGTCTGTAAAGTCATGTGGGGACAGTAGTAGAGACTGTCCCCGTGGCTGATAGCCAGGCTGCGGCATCCTGCCTTCCTGTGCGTGGAGGCCTGACTTCCACCCGAGCGCCCTGTCCAGTGAGGAAGGACGGCTGATAGGTGGTGCCGTAGACCTGTGGCCAGAACACACTCGGTTCCAAAGCGTGGGGTCACAGCAGCTGAGGCAGCACGACCAAGCGCGGCTCCGGGAAATGAGACTTCGCCGGAGCGTTTCCGAGGGAGGGAAAAGACCACGCAAAATAAAGCCGAGGGCGCATTCCCTCACCTCACAGTGGTGAAGCCGCTCTTGGGGGGCCTAGCCTTGACTTGACTATCTGCAGGAATCGGAGCAGCCCAGGCTTGACACACGTCACAGCTGCTCGGCCCTCGCTGCGCCTCCAGCAGCCACCTCGGGTGCTCACAGGGCCTGAACGTGGCTTGGGTGTGAGCCCGGCACCGAGCACTTACCTGCATGTGCGGCACCCTGGCTTTGAAGCCCAGCATGCGAGGGCATGTACACATATGCCTATGTGCTTGTGGAGACCAGTTAGATGTCTGAGTCTTCCTCGCTGGCTCTCCACTTTATTTCTGAGACAAACCTGGAGCTCTTGGATTAGTCTAGGTTGGCTGGCCAGCAAGCCCAGGATCGCCCTATCTCTGCCTCCCCAGTCCTTGGATCACAGGCACAGAACGCCACGCCTGGCTGTTCCATGGGTGGTTGGGACTGACCTCGCTCCTGGGTTCTGCTGCTCCTGCAGCAAGCACTTTGCCAACAGAGCCGTCTCCTCAGCCCTGTCATGTGCTGACTTGCATGAGGCTGCTGACATCCCTGAATCCCATGGGCACTGTCCAGACACCAGGCTCCTGTCTCACTGTGTTATGGAGCCAGCTGTATGGTCACCTGGCTTACGCAGAAGGTTATTAAAGATCCAATAAAGGAAGTAGCAGGTGCCTTCCTCTCTGAGCTACCTTCACAGCGCTGGCCCCGTACACGCAATTGCTCAGGCTGACTCAACTCCTGCAAGGTTTATGGGCTCGCTCTGATTGAACCGATGAGGCTGCAGGAGACCCAGAAGCTTCTCAGACCCTCACCGTTGGGAGAAGGCAGGTCTGGGGCTGACATTTGACAGCTGTGCTAGGCTTCCCTGCCCTGAAGCAGCAGTCTTGAGACTCTTCAGAGCTGGGGACATTGTCTTGCCCACTGCATGTGCCTTTTTGCAAACATCCTGCCACCGCCCACCCCCTTCTCCTCCCATTCAAGTCATTGCCCCCACCTCCTCACCCCTTCCTCCAGCTTCCTCCCATTTCCTGTTTCAAAATAATTTGCTGTCTCTGGAATGATGGCAGGCCAGCATCGGGCAGTAACGGTCTTCCCCAGAGATTCCCCTGAGGGAGTCCCAGAAGGGAGCTGAGTGGGTGAGCGGAGTCACGGCTTCCCACAGCAACAGGAAGTGGAAGCAGATCAAACAGTAGTTCTAAACCCCAAGAGGTCTTCATCCCAGCCTCTTCAATTAATGGATACCGTCCTCAGACGCTTGGAGTCCCTCAGTGCCCTGGTTGCTTTTGGTAGGCTGTCTAATCAGTGGAGACAACATTAGAGGGTATGATAGGACACAGACACAGGTGGGACCAGCACTCCGTGTTACTAAACTGGAGGGGAATGCGTTTAGCAGGAAGGTGAGGAGATGCCTAAGGGGGTGCCTGGGCAAGAGGCTGAAAGATGCCTGAACACCCACCTGCAAAATGGGCAGCCCTAGCACTGAGACAGTAAAGGTTACAGGGCAAGCTCTGTGTGGGCCAGATGTTACCTAAAGAAAGTGTTCCGTGTGGGGTCTCAAAATTCTAACAGTAAGCATGGGTGATGGTGGCTAATCCCTGAGGAATGCCCAGGATCATGGACAGGACCTAGAGTCCGGTTAACTGCCTGACTTTCCTTTTATGAGCGGAGTTATCGGGCCAGCCATCGTGTTTCGGGGAAGGACTCCCAGTGACTTACCGGAACTGTCTGTGTGTCTTTCTCCACACAGTGGACAGGGCAGTTGAGGAACACCCTTATGAATATGAAATATGAACTATCTTTGGCTCTGAATTGCTGTACCTGGAGGAGAGCCCTGGGCAGCCCTCCTCGGCTGCCTTCTCTCACGGGTTGCCCAGCCCGAATCACATCCTCTCTCCACATGGACCCACTGAGGCCAGTGAGGGAGGAGGACTTCTGGCCATCTAAGCCTGGTCCTTACCTAGCAGGTCTCTGTATCACAATCCTTTGTTAATATGTAGATGGTCGGGTGGAGCGGGGAGTGGATCATATGTGAGTGACCCAGAAAATAGCTTTCCCCATGAGACAAACCAGCTGTGGCACGTGCTCCTCTAGACAGGACTACAACACTAAGCAGCACCCAGGTCCTGCTCTCATGGGGCTCCCCTGTCCAGCCAGGTCACAGCCTAGGCTAAGGCACCGTGCTTCGGGCCATTCCCACTGGGATTACGCAGACATCTTAGGAGGCAGGAGGCCTGAGACCCCCCCTGACCTGTTCTCCCTTTCAATTACAGATCATTAAGGAGGTTCCCCCGCCCCCTGTGGAGGAGAGTGAGGTAAGTGCCCAGAGTGGGGCGCATCTGGGTGGGAAGGTGGCAGGGGCGGGCGCTGGCTGAGCAGGGCTGGGCCCCACTGCATGGGAAAGGGAGCCTTTGGGCCTTTCCTAACCAGGGTGAACAAGACCTGAGCACAACTGGAGGCCAGAGGCTGCCTGATCTCTTCCCACAAAGGCCCGTTTTGTCTGTTTCTGTTTGTTTTCTTCTCAAGGGTGTTTGGGAGGTGTTCTGGTAGCTTTTGAGGGGATGGGTTTGGGTTGCTGGCTGTTGGCTGTACTGGCACCCAGGATCTCACACTTGCCACACGGCTCCCCACCTGAGCACTGAGCACACAGCCTCCGCCTTTTGGAGACTGGGTCTCATGTGGCACAGGCTGCCCTTAGCTCACGTTGCTCCTACCTCAGCCTGCCCAGTGCTGGGATCTCGGATGTGTCTCCCTGCACCCGCAGTGATTTGGGGCTGGGAGGGTCTAATTTCTCCTCTGACACGTTGTAGGATTCTCGTGCAGCTACAGATGTGCACTCCACGTGTGTAGGTTATGGCAAATTTGTCATGCTCTGCAGACAATCGCCGCCTCTAAGGCTGATGCCAAGTACCCCATTTTTCTTTAATTTAAAACAGTGCTGTGGAGAATCTGCCAGGTGGTCATGAATCCACACTGGAGCAGAATATGCTAATATCCGGGCCTCGCTCTCAAATCCTCACTGCTACAGACAAACCCTCAGACTCTTCCATGGGCCAGCAAGCCGCTGTGGTGCAGGGCAACTCTACTAAGCTAGCTGAGGCGTTAGCAGCTGGTTCCTGGGGGGGGGGGGAGTTCCCCACAAATGGCTTTCCTAGCCTGAGGTAGCCGGGATGTTAAGACATAACATCTGCCATGTAGGTGTCCTCCCTCTGAAAACTTAGGTGACATGACGGGCATGTTGGTGACATTTCCAGTTCTCAACTGGGTTCCTGAAGTCTCTGTGTGCATCCCAGACACCACTGCTCAGTCCTGTGCCAGCTCAGCCTCCCTGTGCCAGCTCAGCCTCCCTACACAGAAAGATTAAGTTTAAAACTCGATGAGTCTCTTGTGTGCTGAATGCTGCGTGAGTGCCAAGAGACTTAATAGCAGCGATCAATTAAAGCACATCTTGCAGGAATGTTAACTCTCTGCCCAGAAATCAAGGGAGGAAATTACATTGCTGTGCAGAGAGGAGGGGGGAGAGAGCCCTCTCTCCGTGTCAAGTCTGTCCTTGACATGGAGAGCAGGAACCACAGCTATCCCGAGGTTCCCTCTGACTTTCCCTGTGTTATACGCAACCATCTCTTAGAACCCCCAAACAAAAGGAGAGTGAAGCTCCCTGCCGGGGCTGCTGTCAGCTCTGGGGTAAAAATGTTCCCTCCCTGGACTTTGTTCAGAGTGGCTCCTCCTGGCGCTTGCTCTGCACTAGCCTTTAGAAGGTGATGGCTGGAGATTTTGGTACTGGGGTGCTGTGGGGTCTGATGTGCTCTGCATGTTGCATCTGGCACAAGGGTCCATGCACTGTGGATGCACAGACATGGATTGGATGCAAGGCAGGAGCCCGAACAGAAAAGAACAGACAAAAGCAAGGGAAGGGAAGGAATTGAGTTTTTTTTTTTCAGCTCCATTTAATATTTTATGGAGACTGTACTTTGAAAAAGGCAAACAGAGTTCCTGAAACAGAATGATGATCGTGGACACTTGGGACCTGAAGGCTTGTGGGAGGCTTAAGACGGCTTCCTACTGCCGAGAAGATTATTTCAGCATGCAGCCCAGAAGCTTCTTGGGGCTCTAGTCCTCTTTCTAATATGCTCTGGCAGGAAGAAATGAGAGAGGAACCCCACAGAAAGGAATAAGGGAACTTAGAACAAGTATTTTATAGAACCCTCTGAAGCTCACAGTCGGCATCTAGACAGCCTTCCCCAGGCCAGCCATGTATGCAGATCTCACCAAGGCCTGGAGCACAGCTTGTGAGCACGTGAGCACTGACATCACAGAGTGCCCGGGAAGAAGGAAGTCCTTCTGTCAGCTGGATGCCTCCTTTCCCCTTCTTGGTGGTCTCTGGCTATTGCCTTAAATCCCCGCTCTGCGTCACAGCTTAGGGCCATTAGACACTCAAGGGTTAGGAACTATCTAGTCAACCTTAGCATAAGCTGGGAGTGATGGTGCATGCTGGTAATCGCAGCCCTGGGGAGGCTGAAGCAGGAAGGCTTCAAGCTTGAGGTCAGCCTGGGCTCTGTAGAAAGACCATGGCAACATGGGGTAGGGATCGAGAGAAGGAGAGAAGACAAGCCTGGTGTGTGTGTGTGTGTGTGTGTGTGTGTGTGTGTGTGTGTGTGTGTGTATGAACGAGCTAAGTGTTAACTGACCCTCATCAGCTTTATAACCTGAATCACATCCTGAGGGAGGCTGTCTTAGTTAAGGTCACTGCCACTGTAATGAAACACCATGGCCAAATGCAGCTTGCAGAGGAAAGTGTTTATTTTGCTCACTGTCCCATGTAGCAGCTCATCATCAAAAGCAGTGAGGGCAGGAACCTGGGGGCAGGAGCTGATGCAGAGTGCTGCTTCCTGGCTCACTCAGCCTGCTTTCTGGACATGTCCCACAGGTGGCCCCACCCACAAGCGCCCTCCCACATCAGTTACTAGTTAAGAAAATGCCCTACAGGCTTGCCCACAGCCCAATCTTAGGCAGGCATTTTCTCTCCTGAGCCTCCCTCCCCTCTGATGACTCGAGCTTGTGTCAACTCATGCTTATTACCCTGATCACACAAACATGTATGTGTGTGCATGTGTGAGAGAGAGAGAGAGAGAGAGAGAGAGAGAGAAGAGGAAGAGGAGAGGGAGAGGAGAGGGAGAAGAGAGAGAGAGAGTTCAGTGCTCTGTATGTTTAAAAAAGAAGAAAGAAAAGAACTCCCAAGAAAATATTGCTGATTACAGAAGAACATCTATGATTACTAAAGAACAGAGGAGAGTCACAGTGTTGACTTTCCTCACTGTGTATAGGCAGGTGATCACGCCATGACATGCTAAATGCAATTCAGAGGGGAAATTTGAATCCTTCAGCTCTGGTTTGTATTTACAAGAAGTCTTGCTGAACTGTCGAGGCCTGTGAAACAGATGAGAGGGTCCCCGCAGCTCATCCCGAAGGCCAGACCCTGCCGTGGGTTCCGCTTACTCAGTCCTCCAGCCTGGGCACTGCTGCTGCCTTGGTCTTCCTTCATGCCATCCGACTCACAGAGCGGCCCCCTCTGTAGATGTGAGCAGCTGCCTTCCTCCATCTGCCTCTTACACTGTGCTGCCATGAGGGCTCACTGCACAGGCTGGAGGGAGTGAAGGGAAGGACACGGCTCTTGTTTGGGGTTACACAGGGTTTATCATATGGCTTCAAGATGTGCTGAGGGTTTGACCGAAGTAAGGGACCGGAGGGCAGTGCTGTGCGGCTGTGGATACAGCTGGCTCTCCTCTCCTACTCTGTCACCCCATCCTCTCCTTGCCATCGCCTGTGGGTGCCCTCACAGATTATGGTGGCTCAACCCACTCTTTTCTGCCCACCCCCTGCTGATTTACCACAAGGTCCTGGCTCCTGATGCTTGATGCTATGAAACAGTTTGGCTCAGCCAATCCTTACCTCCAGGAACTATGGACGCCACCAAAGTTTCTTTAAAAAAAAAAAAAATCTGTGCTTCTGGTCCTCCCTCCTGGATACATCTCTGAAGGTGATTGGAGACACCTTCCAGAAGCCCGTGTTCTTTAACTAGATGTAGGACCCCTCCCTCAGATAGTGTTGGCTGTCACAGGGTATGTGCTGAGCCCTATGAGTTTACTTTTGGCCAAGGGCAAACACACATCAAAGGTTCTCCTCCCTCCCTGGGATTGTGCAACTCTCCAGGCTCTGAGGCGTACCCAGAGTTGTGCTTACTGCAGAGAAATTGACTCTCCCTTTGCTCAGACCTAGTGTTGACTTTGGTGGCCATTGTTTGGAGGAGAAGCTCCGGTCAGAGACTAAAGTGAGGCTTGGTGGGCTGAGCATATGTCAAAGCATTTCCTGCTGTGAATCTACACTGGGGACAAGGGATGTATCTATCTCTGATGGCCTGTCTTCCTTTTCCAGGACCCCACACACATGAGAGGGGAGAAGTAGAGAGAGGGGTCCCTGGAGTATGCTAGGAAGCCAAGAAAAGGATAGAGATGGGCCCGGCACCATGGTGCACTCCTCCCAGCTCTCAGGGAGGCAGAGGCAGGCAGATCTCTGTGAGTTCGGAACCAGCCTGGTCTATAAAGCAAGTCCAGGACAGCCAAGGCTACACAGAGAAACCCTGTCTCGGAAAAAAAAATAGAGATGGATTTTTGTGTGTTACATACAAAAGCATTCAGAGTATTTCCAAATTTGGAAAAAGGAAAAATAAAAAGATGTGAATCAAGTGCTTATATGAAGGGTTGGGGCCATTCACTGGACAGGATAGCAAGACACCAAATCAGAACTTTGCCTCCCCTGCTCTGGACCTGACAGTTACTTATGCATCACGGAACAGCTGTGTAGATGGTGTCCAGTGTCTGCACTTCTGTAATTAACAAACGAAGACACTCATAAAACCATCTCCTCCTAATGCTGACCGTCTAACACAACAGCCAAGGGTGGATAGTTTATAAAAAAAAAAATAATTTCTTTCAGTTCTGGAGATGCCATTCTGGGAAGTCCAAGGGCAAGGGATCTTCATTCAATGGGGCCCTCTCATGCATGTATCATCCGTGGCTGAAGTAGAAGGGCAAGAAAGTTTAGCAAAAGAGAGCAACCAAGTCATGGCTCCACTGCCGCTGCTCACTTTATGACAAGGCCAGTCTTCAACAACTCACTTTATGAGGACACTGCCCTCAGAGCCAGTCACCTCCCGTCAAGCACTGTTGCATTAAGGATGACGCTGTTCCCAGGGCACAAAGTTCAGCGGCACATCCAAACAGCACCGTGTCATGAAGGAAAGACCCTGCTCCCCAGGGCTGTCCGCAGACTGTTTAACCACCACTTCACGGATCAGGATAGTGATGTGTGGAGGCTCCGTGAGCTCCAAAGGCAAGAGCGTGGGGACTCAACTGTGTGGCCTGAGACTGTGTAGTTTGACTGTTCCAGCTTGCCCACCATAGTGGACACACACAGCTTCAGGGGTCTTGAACTTTATGTGTCACAATCTCTCGGCAGGAAGAAGACGATGACGGTCTGCCGAAGAAAAAATGGCCAACGGTAGATGCCTCTTACTATGGTGGCCGTGGTGTTGGAGGCATCAAAAGGATGGAGGTAAGAGCACAGCCATTGTCTTTGTGCCAGCCACCTGCAGCTAGAACCCCAGAGCGAATGCTGGTAGACCAGGCTTGAGGTGTGGGGAGATGGTGCCTGTGAGGTACAAAGGTGGGGAGGTGGAATGGTATAGCCTTTAGCTGCAACCTGAGTCTTGCCATCACAGGTCAGGAGAGGCCACTCATCTGCCAACCTCCCCATCCCCGCCAGGGGTTCCTTTCTTCACTGAACTAAAACCCCACTTTCATACCCACCCAAGAGTTCTACCTCTAATTCTCCCAGCCCGTGGCTCCCTGCTTCTTTCACCCCTCCTGCTCTCCAATTTTCCCTTTTCCACACACCTTACTTCTCTGGCTCACGATCCTGAGGGAACAGAGGACCTGGTAGCATGCACCTCTCTGTCCTGTCAAGGGGCACACTGCAATCACATGACTCTGTCCTGTGGAATTTCATTTATGTTAGGTCCGCTGGGGAGAAAAGGGCTCCACAGAAGAAGGGGCTAAGCTGGAAAAAGCAAAGAATGCGAGAGTCAAGATGCCAGAGCAGGAGTATGAGTTCCCCGAACCCCGAAATCTCAATAACAACATGCGTCGGCCTTCTTCTCCCCGGAAGTGGTACTCACCCATCAAGGTATGTCTCTACCCAGAATCCCTCCAGTATTCCCTCTCTCCAGCTGTGATCACCTTTCTTCTACCCTCGGCTCTAGGCTCTAATCCACCCTGGGAAGTTAAAGCCATGGGAGGTGATTCATGCTCCTAAGGGCCTCTTGTCACTGTGGGTATACTTGGCCTTGAACTCCTGTGAGGGGTCAGCACACTTCTTCATGTCCTTGTCCCTCCGAAGTATGACAGCCATCAGAACCCCACAAACTCATAGCAGAGGACTCTAGACATAATCCACCCCAATTTCCAAAGTCTTTTCTCCAAGGTTTGCAACCCAAGGTCCCAACTGGACCCATTCCTGAACCTCTAGGAAAAGTGTGAGAACCAGTCAGTTACCTTTCCTGCCCACACACATTCCTTGCCCCTCTGCTGGGAGCTGCATAGGCACTGTTTGTCCTTCTCTGAGTATTTCTTAGCTCTAGAACAACCCTCATACAAATGCCAGGTCCGGGGAGATGGCTGAGTCTCTAAAGCGATTGCTGATGAGTAAGCAAAGATCCCTGTGTACTCTGGGTTCAGAGGGAGACCACATCTCTAAAAGTAAAGCAGAGACCACCTAAGAAGGACACCAATCAACCTCTGACCTCCCCACGTGCATGTGCACGCCTGTAGGTAGAGTTAAACTGGAGTGGTGGCTGCTGTTTCTCAGCCGAATGAGCTCGGGCTCGGAGAAACTTTGGAGCAGTTTCCGTTCGGGCTTGCTGTGTTTAAAGCTGAGGTTCTTTTTTTAGGATAAGCCTCCCTGAGGCAAAGGGTTGAGGCCTGGGCTGTGGGTGAAGCCCAGCTGGCGGCAGGAATGGCTGCTGCTGCTAATTCTTCTCCAGTGAGGAACGTGCGGTGGCGTGCAGACATGTGCAGACAGGAAGGAGCCAAGAGGATCCTCAGAGATGAGAGAGAAGAAAAAAAGTGTGTGTGTGTGTGTGTGTGTGTGTGTGTGTGTGTGTGTGTGTGTG